ATATATATATATATATATACACACTGCTCAAAAAAATAAAGGGAACACTTAAACAACGCATCCAAGTAAATCAAACTTTTGTGAAGCACATTCAACTCTGTACAGAACAAAGTACTCAATGCGAATATTTCATTGATTAAGATCGGGAGGTAGCGTGCGTTGTTTAAGTGTTCCCTTTATTTTTTGAGCCGTGTATATACACATACAGTATACACACACACACACACATACAATGTGATTTTTGACTCAATCTTTCAACAGACTGAAAAACCCCACAGCTCATTTAAAAGTTTTTTTATTTGAAATGATTTTAAATACAAATAATATATTTATTTTTTTCCCCATTTACAATGACAGTTCCTTTGTAAACAAAAGTGGCAGATCGATAGTCATTTGGGTTGTCGTTTGTCCGGGACGAGGCGGTCTGCTGACCGGTCATCCAGATCAGGTTCCGTAATGGGAGGGATGGTGTCCTATCTAACCTCGCTGCAGCCCCCCCGTCCTTCTCTCTGCTCAGTGTGAATCACTGATGCTACATTCTGTTACAGAGTGGTAAATACTCAGAATACAATGAATAACTGTTAGCATACACCTGCTTTGAACCGTTACAGGAGGATACAGTTTGTGCCTGTGAGCTGGTAGGAGAGCAGGCCCTAGAATATTCAAATTTGATCTCTCGCACACTAACATGACACTACTATGCACTGTAAAAAAATGAAGTTCATGTATGTATATTTGTTGTGATAGATTACACATTCCTTGTAAAACAAAAAATAAAAAATAAAGAAACTGCCTCAACGCAGGCTGTGAGAACCCAGAATATCCAAATTTGTTTTCTTCCCACAACACAAACGCAAAGGTTAGATGCAATTAAACAGGTCATGTTCCTTATAAAATCTTAATGAAGACCAAAAAAAAAAAAGTTTTAAATGAAAGGTTTGTTTGCTTCCCCAAATAATAATAAAAAAACAATAAAGTCTTCCAGGTTTTCATCATAAAAAGCTTAATCTGCTTTATAATGATTTGGAAGAAAAGGTGCTAAAGAAGGTACGGTTAGTCTGAAAGTAAAAGTTACTTTCAGCAGGTCTTTGTTTGAGCTTAGGGACCTCACGCTGAAAGCTCTACAACATTGTCACATTTCAGATAAAACTGAAAAAATACCCTTTTCAGATGGGGAAGTGGATGAAATCACTCCACAATTGAATACAGGCAGATGCCAAACTGAAAAACACTACAAATTATTAGGGAAAAAAATAAAACTAAAATCTTTGCCAGAGGGCTTGTCATGGTTTTTTTATTTTATTTGTTTTTTCTGGGGGGGTGGGGGGGTTCATAAGGCCTTAGACATAGACATTGATTATTTACTGGAATGTACTACAAATGAGAAAAAAAAGCCTAAACTTTGAGAAAATCTACACAGATGCACATTTGTACATCAGTATCTCAGTCCTTTAAAAATAAAAGACTGCAGACTTACAAATTAAATGTGCTGTATGAAAACATAGCTTAACACTGCAGGTTTTGTCCACTCTTCAACTTTACAACTGAGGCCAGCATTGAAAAAAAATCATTGGTTCAGGGACAGAATGGTCATTAATGGAACTATGGAACTATAAAGTCCTGGATCTTTCTGTGGACATTTCCTTCCACGTACAGCGAATAAACTGTTTGTACAAGTGAATGGCAGGTATAACGTTTTGGAAAAAAAAGAAAGTAAAACAAACAAACTGTGCCCCCCATGCGGTGGAAGGAGAACATTTCTTTAACAGTTAACTCCACTGTTCCCGGACAAAAGGAGGCTAAAGCTCACACCTCTGCAGATTAGGTTCACAACTAAGTATTATTGGTGTGGAAAACGGTGACGCAGAGTGATTTGTAAAAAACTGGAGCAAGCGTGATAGTTCCACACGAAGGTCTTGTGTTTGTATTAGTTTCGCAAAAGGAATTAGCTGATACGTTATCCTCTCTCCTCCCTTTGAGAAGAAGAAAAGAGCCCATATTATAATAATAATAGGTCCTCCAGTCCCAAGTGTGTTCATCTCTCACATCTGTACACACACACACACACGCGCGCGCGCACACACACGCACTCAGGCCTGTTAGTATTCACAGAATTCACTTCCACCAGCAGCAGACAGTGAATGAACAAGTCTCTGTAAAAAGGGGCATTTGGGGCATGGAGGGGGGATGTCACAGTTTGTAGGAGAGGTGGAGGACTCGTGTGTAGAAACTGTCCCAGTGATTTCTTTTGTTTGTGTTTATGGCAGGCACAGCTTTGCTTCTCCTCATCACTAGTGGATAGGTGGCCGGTCCTGGGTTGGGAGGGAGGAGGGGGAGAGCGAGAGAGGGGCCCAGCGTGCTCGTCTCGACACATTCAGTCGTTGTCCTCGTCCTCGTCGTCGCTCTCCTCGATGCCGTCGCTGTCCTCCTGCTCCTCATCCTCCTCCTCCGTGTCGGGGATGTCCCACTGCGGGTGGTTGTCCATCACGGCCTTGGCTTCGTGGACCTCCAACTAGTAAGAAAAATAAATAAATAAAAACAAGTTTAAAAAACACAGGAAGCTGACTTGTTCCCACTAAAACATAGTATTTTGCTCAACACCTGTCAGTCACATGCAAACATTTGAAAATCACTGCTCATCACTAGCAACTGGTGAGTCTACCGTCTGAAACAATTTAATTTATAAAATAATTATTTGGCTGAAGATTTATGTCAGCCAGATAATGCTGCGACTGGTTAAAAACATAAAAAGTCACTTTAAAAATCACATAAAAACACATCACTTCTTACTTTAAGTGGTTTGATCTGGTCCAGCCCCATGTAGGAGTCAGAACGGAGGATGACAGAGTACTGGTAGTTCCCCGTTTTAGAAGGGGCTGGAAACTTGAGCTCCACCTGGAAAACAACAAAAACAAATAAAGTTCAACATTTTTCACAAATATATGCTCGATGTATTTGTGTAATAATCACACAACCCTGGTTTAACGTTTTATTTAAGTAGAAATGAAAAAAAAAACATTCAGCCTATTGATATCAGTCAATAATTAAATGGAAAACTTCCAACCTGATATAAAAAATTAAGAGTTTGTTTTGTTTAGTACACTGAACAAAACTGGACATATTGAAATAGTGCATTTTAACATAGGTTTTATGTTGATCTACAACAAAAAAATCAAAAAGTCACTAAAACCACTTCAACACTTTATTTAAATTAAGCAGTTATTTCAACACGCTCCTCCTTTCAGTGGGGAGCTGGTGTTTTTCTCCATCAGTCACTGTGTGACGGGCGGGGAACACCCTGGACAGGTTGAAAGTCCATCACAGGACCACAGAGACACTCACACTCAGAGACAGTTCAGAGTTTTCAATTAATGTGTTTTTGGTTTATAGGAGGAAACTGGAGTAACTGGAAAATACCCATGCATGCACCAGGAAAACATGCTAACTCCACAATGAAAGATTGCGGGTCGAACCTGAGACAGTTCTAACCACTGATCTGGATAAAAATATTATCCAAAATTTTATTTATTTTTTTAAAGGGGCAATATTATGTGTTTCTCAGGCATATATTTAAATTCTATGCCATAATAAAGTAACTACCGTATTTATTCGTGTATAATACGACCCCCCCCCACCCTTTTTGAGCTTAAAAGCATAAAAAATTAAATCCTCAAACTACCTCCAATTTCATACAGACTTCAAGATTTTTCAGCCTTTGCAGTCTTTATACATATCAGTAAAATGATCATTGGACTGTTCAATTTTAACAACATATGTACTAAAAGGTATTTTGACAACAAATATAAATCAGCTGTAGCAGCATCATATGAATTCTGGCATTTTACACATAGTCCACCAGGAGGCGCCAACACAAAAGTCAGAGACTTCACATGAGATTTGGACCATCTTCTGGGGGAAAAGCAGATTACTTCCTACTCACGAACGCCCCCTCTGGTGGGGAAATGTTTTTTTTCAGGGATACAAACTTTTTCAGAACACCGGTAGACGGCTGCCATTACAGACGAACATGTGTTTGTTGTTGTCTGAGGAGCGGCCCGGTCACACGTTAATGTCATTGGTTTGCTATCATTGAGGTACAGGACTGCCTTTTTTTTTTTTTTTTTTCACATCATGTCGCCTGCCTGGATCTGTTATTATCTCGCTCTGAAGCACGGAGGAGTGTCACAGGTAAGCTTGTTTCAACTGCTTTTTACGACGTGATCTCATTTCCGGACTCAAGCATTTTGTGAATGAAGCTGTTATTTCAGTTAAAATACATAAGTACAAATATTTATCCGAGTAAAGTACTACCCCCCAACTTTATGGATGATTTTATGGATTTAATTATTATACTTGAATGAATATGGTATGTCCCCTTTAGTTGTTATTAAAATGCTGTTTGACTTCATCATATCTGTTTCTAAACGCCTTGAAATTGGCCTCCGTCTCTTTAAGAACCTCATTCTGCTTCTGTCCCGCACATTTTCAGCACGGGGCAGGGTGGGGGGGTGTGTGCTCTGTGATGAGAAAGCTCAGCTTGGAGACACAGCCCAGAGGAGGAGATGGTCCAAAAGGCGGTTCTAGTCCCAAATGGTTGTTTTTGCTCCCCTGCCAGGCTGCCTCAGGACACTACAGGATTTCTCAAACATGCATGAATGAGTCAAAGCAAGACTTTGGGCATGTTTTTGATGAGAAGATAACATTATAACAAGATATAAAACTTTTAAAAAGTTGATTTTACATGATATTGCCCCTTTGAAGTTGGTGCTGTATATTGGCATCTGGCTGGCCTGATTTCTAAAGATTGCATCATTTTTGGCCAAAGAAAAACTCATATCAGCTGATTTCTAAACAAAATCTCAAAGGCTTTCAGGGCGGACTTTTTCTAACTAAAACAGTTATCACAAAACAAACCAGAAACCCTGCCTCTCATCCAAAAGCACTCCACATGAAAACCTTGGTGAACAAACACAGCTTTACAGTAAAACAGAAAAGTCCAGCCGTAGAACCTTACAAACAATCTATCAGCAGAAGGGCACACTGAGGTAGGATGACAGGGTCCAAGTGTAAATATTACACCAATGCTACCTCAGGCCGTGTATATTAGTTTGTGCAATTACATCTAATTATCAACACAATGAGGCTGTTATTCAGCATAGAAGAAACAGAACGTGACTAGCTGTTAACAGCCCCGTCTTGTTGGTGAAAGTAGCCAATCTGCCACTCGTAACACATCTGCCACAAACGAGTCCCACAACAGGAACGCTCTGAGGAAACTGTGGATGTGACAGATTAATTGATTGCTAGCCGGTGACCCATCATGCGTGAAAAAGGGGCACCTCTTGTGATTTGTTCCTTCAGAGCGCTGACAGCTGGTCACGCAGCGTTACGCAGGGCCCTTATTATGCCTTTACCTTGCTGTCAATCTCAGCTGTTGCTGGAGAATACCAGAGTCAGAGGTGAAATTGTTCACAATAAACACACACGACTGAGGAAATAATGACGAGTGCAAAACGTTGCCTAGCAATAGAAAAAAAAAGAAGGATCACATGGCTGCGAAATCTATAAAATATGGTTTTAATATAATAGAGGATGAGTTGTTTAACGCTGCAACCGCAATTATTCTCAGGACTGATGGTTAATTTTCCGACAATTATTGCCTGGAAAAGAAAAAAAATGCTTTTCCCTGTGTGTGTTTGTTTGTCTGCAGCGTTAGCAAAATATCTCATGCATCACTCAACAGCTTTGATTCATTTTAGGAACTAACCTCATTAAAGATGGTCGCCACTAGCTAGGCAAACAAGGACTGTCAGGCAATATTACCCTCTTGGGTTAGCACCCGCAACGTAGTGATTCGATCACGTGATCCATACCTGAGAAGCATCTATTTTACTGACTTTTTTTTTTGCTTAAAACTTTGACATTAAATGCTGCCATCAAACCTGTCCTATATGTTAGCAAAATATCTCTTGAACTGACAGATCTTAACGAAACGTTCAGAAAATAATCTTTGGACGTATCTCACTGAAGTCGTCACAGTTCAAAATGGCCAACACGGCTAATCAACATTAGCCAACACAAAAATGGTGATAACTCAGTCAATCTTACAGATAGAGATAAAATGTGTAACGGTAGTAGCTTTGAGTCATCCTCGACACTGTGAGCTCTAACATCTTGCATATTCCATGAGATGACATCATCTACAAAGACTGATCAAAATGGCTACAGCACTGTTCCTTCTCAACAGAGCAGGATTTTAGTCTCAACCTCTGAAATGCATGAAAACAGGGGACGAAACCTTCAGGGAATAATAGGTTTTTAGTTTAGCAAATATCCTATATTTTTTAGGCTAACAACAATAACAATGGGAAAATAATCCCACCTCTTCCATGTCTTTTAGTGTGCAGACATGGTACGGCATGGAGACAAGGGTCTGGTCTTTGCGGTCTGCGATGTACAACCACCACCACTCTTGCTTCTCCTCGGGAAAGTAGAGGCTGTAGGCGGGATGCGTCAGCTTCGATTTGGTTTCTAGCAGTGCCCGCTCTCGCCGCTGGATGCTTTGCTGTAAGGCCTCCCACTCCTGACAAAGTGAGGTGAGTGCAGGATTATCAATCTTTAGCTCGACTTTGAAGTTTAAGTAAGAAACCTGTCAGGGCTACTGACACTGTACTGTGTGTGGAAATCAATGAAAGTTTCCTGACCTCCTCGTCGTCGCCAGCCACCTCATCCACCTCGGTGTCGCTTTGTTTATCGCTGTCTTCGTCTCTCTCGCTCGGAGAGTCCTTGTTGGCCTCTCCCTCGTCGGACTCGCTGCCTTTGTCTGAAGCTTCGTCCTCTTCCTCCTTTAGCACTCCTGACGGGTTAGCAGTGCCTTCCTGAGACAGCAGCACAACAACAGTGATTTTGAAAATCGAAAGTGAAAAACGATGGTTAAAAGTTGTCTCAGCCGTGATTTGTGGGTCCGATGCTTACTCCTGTCACACTGCCATTGGCTTGCTTGGTTTTAGCAGGAGCGGGAGTGGCCTTCTTCTTGGTTAATTTCTTCTTCTTGGACTTGGCTGTCTTCTTAGCCCCTTTATTTTTGTTCTGCCACACTTTGGCTTTAGCTTTACTCGCATCTCCCTGCATTACACAAAGCAAAAATACAGAAAAAGAGGATTCTCAAAACCAAAAAGTTGAACAAATATAGTATAAAACTATTTATTTATACTGTATTTGTTCAGTACAGTATAACTATTTATTTATACTGTATTGAACAAATACAGTATAAATAAGTAGTTTTTCCTGTTACACTTACTGCATCGTCTGTGTTGGCAACCTCCTCTCCAGGACACGGTGTTGATTCCTGCTCTTTTTCAAACATATCCTGCAAACAGCAAAAAGTTAATAAACAGCACACTCTGGTGGTCATCACAGAAGTGCATGAAGATAGTGAACTTACTGTTTGAACTCGTTTTCTTTTATTAATTTAAGAAAATCTGGTGTTCAATCAAAACAAACACTTACCACCATTCGCTTTCTGCTTAAGGTAACAGTTACAGTGACAATAGAGCCTGCTGTGATGTTATTGCTGTCCTCATCATCAAGGACTGCAAAAACCAGAGAAAGAATCATTGTTGAAAAAACATAAAACTCGCTCAAAACATTTCAGATTGTGTTAGATTTTTGTTTTATTTAGGTCTGACCCTGCAGCTTGATGTCCATAGTGATGTGAGGGAAGCTGCCCAGCACTGCCATGACCTCATCATACTTCTCCTCCCCCAAGAAGCGCATCATGCTGCGTCTGTCAGAGTCCTTCAGACTCACCAGGTCCTGTAGGGTTCGCACCTTATACTGAAGAGAAAAGCTCTTTAGTTTACTAACTTACTACTTTAAAGATCGAAAGAGTCAAATCTAAAACAAGACAATAACTGTTCTAGCTTTAGATCATTACACAAATGTGACCCATCACATCGAAACAAGGATTAAGTCCAAAAGTGGAATGTGGAGAAAAAGGCAGATATAGTGTTTCGATTTAAATGTGTGCAAAAATTGCATTTTGTCAAAATATATTGAATTAATGCCTTATCAATGTATCAATTGAATGAACTGTTTGAAATATAATCATAAAAAATTAAAGCATTTTTTGAGCAGTAACAACAAAAAAACAGATTTTGAGGAAAAATGTAGAAATTTTCCCTGTGAGCTAGCAATGTTCTTGTTTCTTTCCAACTGGGAAATCTTAATATACAAATACTATTTGAGGTTTCCTCTTTATTTTAACACAAAAAAGAAATACTCATAAAATTAGGATTCAGACCAAACAGTTTTGTATTATCGTAACCAACAGGACAAATTAAGTCATATCACTGGAAAAGCTTATGATATCAGAATGATCCAGGTATCAAAATGTAGCTTTTAGATCCAGGAATCTGAAAATGTAATTAGGTCGTTTTGACTAAATTTGACTTAATCCTCATTTCGATATGATGGGGTCACAAATAAAGCTTAGAATAAAAGTGAGAGCCATTGTGTACTTTTTTAGAAATGCAGAAACGAAGATGCTCCTCTTCAAAATGAGGTAGCTGTAGCAGTGGTGACTTTGACTCCTGCAGACCCTGAACTATCATTTGGGTCAGCTTCATGCAGTTCTCGATGCTTGTCAGCCGAGGAGCGTGGAAACCTGAGGGGAGGCATCGTGTCAGCGTGAGCAGGAAAAGGGCACAAAAAGCATCAACGTGTTGGACAATACTGATATAACTGAATGGTGTGTGTGTGTGTGTGTGTGTGTGTGTGTGTGTGTGTGNTTCGTGGGGGGTGGCAAATTAAAATTAAAAAAAGCACTCTGGATGTTAGAATTCAAGATGGCTGTCACAGCTAATTCCAAATGGTTTTAATTCAGCTGTTTTAAGATACATTGAGCTAAAATTTTGCATGTTCATGGCTAAGAATGCAAAAAAAAAAACATGGTGAATGCTAGTCATAACTTATTATTTAGCCATTTTTAGACATGCAAAGCTAAAGATTAGTGAAGAAGTAGCTGAAAACAATATTTAATAAATGCTATTCAAAAATTCTAGATGGCAACCACTGCTACGCTTTAAAGGCTATAATATTTTGAATCTTGAGATGTAATTTATTGTGGAAAAACTATATGCTGATTAACGATGCTAAGCTAACCACTGTAGCTAATAGTAGTACTAATTGTACGAAAGGCTACAATTCAGTCATTTTTGAAACGCAGTTGAAAACATATCATGCAGTATCAGAGAACAAGCTTCAGCAAAATCTAAATGCAAATACAAAACCCAAGAGATCCCCACACTTGTTAATTATGGGTGGCACCTCGGGTGGCCGATCAGTTACCAGGGGTGGCACTTGCCTCCCCTCTGGCTCAGCCAAGGAATTTTTAGTTAACATTTCATAAGATTGAGGGAGGTGTGTGTGTGTGTGTGTGTGTGTGTGTGTGTGTGTGTACCTCCTCGGCTGTTGGCCATCATGGTCAGCTGGCAGCCCACGTTGATCATCTCCTGAAGGAGAGCTGGACTCTTCCTCACCACAAATCTTTGATCTGGTGCAGAAACACATAACTTGTTCTAAATACAAAATTAAGGACCTGTTTGTTTATAAATTCAAGCCTTTTGTTGACATATTCAAACACACTCCAAATAAAAATAAAATAAAAATCAATGCCAATACATTTCACACCCAAGTGCCCGTATAATTCCTACCTTCCTCCAACTCCTCTGACACTTCCATGCGGGCCAGGTGAGACAGCACCAACACTCTGGCTTTCAAACTGTAAGGATAACAAAATGGGGGCTCCTTCTTCTTCACATTGATATTTCCTAGTTCACGGATCAACTGCAAGAGAGTCGACAATCCTATTAGTGTTGAATTAACTCAATAAATCAGGGTCTTCTACAATAACAATTTATTTGCATTTAAATTTATGTCTGGAAATCAATGGAAATATTTCATATTCTGACTAAATCCAAAAATCATTTTTGCGACTTGCTTCGATGTGAACATCTATACATTTCATCTCTGGTAATTATACCAGCAAATACGAAGGATTCTTTCTGTTCTTACCTGTGGCACTTCAACATTGTCTGTGGGTCTGATGGTGGCTTCTTTATTGCTGCGAGGATCAAACTCAAACGCTGCTGTTAACACCATGGTTAATCCTAGAGGAGGACATTTGGTCGATATCAGCTTCAAAATATCACAAACTACCATTCCTCTCATAACGAAATACACAAACAAACTGTTTTCCTTTAAAACAGAAAGATGTCTGCAGGCAAACTCACGCTTCATATTCATGTTGGGTGTCTTGTACATAAAATGCATAAAAAGCTGGGTGGTGCTGATGAGGATCTGGTCTCCACTGTATCTGATGGAGCGGTACCACCATGTGCCCTAAAGTACACGAACAGAAAATAATGGACAAAAACAATTAAAAGCGGGAAGAATTCAAAAATGTTCAAACAAATGTGCCCAATGGGTTTAGTCTACAAAAACGACAAATCGTTGCCAAAAACGTACCACAACAACAGGAAGGATGACCATAAAGGCAAGACCGTACACCAACAGCACCTACAGAAGCAAAACCCGAGTGTCAGAGCAGATTCTTTGTGTTGTAGCTCAAGTTCTAAAAGCTTAAATCAATACCAGCATGGAGTTCTTCTGGTCAACAATCCAGGCAGGAAGAGCAATACCAAAACTGGTGGCTTAAAAAAAGAAGAAAAAAAAAAGAGATGAAAATGTAAAAATCCTTTTTTACTGCAAGAAAAAAGTCAGGCAATCGTTTATAAGAGCATTGAAATGTGTCTGACACAATGAGATTTAGTTCTAATTCTAATTAAAAAGTAGCTCCAATTAAAAAGGCTTGGTCCTGAGGAAACATGCATTAAGATGAAAAATAGAAGCGATTTTTCATTGATGTAGTCAACTCATCTATCTAGTATCCATGCAAGCAGCTGGACTTTACTTACCCCCCGGACCGTCTGGGTTACCGTATGTTTCCCAGTTTAGTCGAGATTGTTCATTGGTTAAACTGTGAAGGGGAGGGGAATTATTTGCAAGTTAATTCTGTATTCTAAAATGTAAAAAGAGGTTTACTATTTGGTTAAACTGGGGGGAAAATAAACTGAAGGAAACTTACGCAGCGTAGGCTTTGGCAATTCTCATGAATGTGGCCTCATCACCACCTTTGTCAGGGTGGTGCTTGAGAGACAGTATACGGTATTGCTTCTTAATTTCTGACACCGATGCACCCTGGGGGGAAAAAAGTACAGTCAGAGCAACCAGTTACATCAACTTACATAGTTGGGCATAATTTAAAAACACTGTTGATCTACGGGTTGAGAAAATTTGTAGATTTTAGGTTTCGTGATATTTCAGGACTTTACGCAAAACATGAGGAGTTTACCGGGTCTAGGTTGAGAACTTCATATGGATTGTACTCCTGGTACTCCCGGTCCAGTTTGGAGACCTTGTAGGCTAGCAGCAGGAACACAACCCACCCAAACAGCAAGGCTGCTTTCCTGAAAAACATTCACACACATACAAGAGGAACAAAAATCAGTGCAACAGATGGGGCGCTATTCTTAGGAACCTCTTCACATTATGACTTGTAATGTTTTTTTGTTGTTTTTTTACTACAATCAGTTCAGCCAGCTCACTTTTAAGCTTATAAATATTTAATGCAGAATAAAATATGAGTTTTGGCATTTAGATCCCATTTTCAGTTCCTGTAAACATGTTTGTTCTGTTTGATTACTGAGTGATTTTCAGCCCCAGGAGTCTACAGGTGGATGCTGGAGGGATGAAGAAGCCAAAGCAGAGAGGATAGTATGCACTGCAGAGTGGTAGGAATCAGCAGTGGGAGCAGATATATAATAAAAATAACTTTTTTTTCACAATCAATGTTGCTGCAATAGATGGTCAGCTTCATACTAGTTTGAAAAAATCAGGAACCAAACCAAAACAATGTTATAGCAACTTAACACAGTAGCATTTTGTTCAATGACAGAACATTACAAAGTATTTTACAGTTTGTCCCACTTGCATCAGACATGCATGTAATTTGTACAACCTTGAGTAGCTGAACCAGTCAATCACTGGTTAGCAGGATCCTTTTCCATGTTCTATTTCTGATAACTTCTGTTAATTTACCATCTGCCATGTTTGGTATTCAATGAAACCTCAAAATCTTGGCTAAAAGCTCATAAAAACCATCTCTACAGCCACATGTCACGATTAAAACAACAAGCAGCAGTTGAATCAGAAAGTAAACAATGAACATAATGGCATCAATACATATTTTAGAGCCAATCTGTCAAAATATTTTCATCCTTTTTGACTTTTTATTAATGAAAGTCAAAGCAAAAACCAAAATATGCTGTAAAGTCATTTGAAATTTTTTAAAACTTGATTTTGAGTAAATTTGCTCCATCTGGAGTCAAACATTATCATTTCCCACTGTTTTAAAAGGTGAAATAAAAAAAATGCGTGGGTCACTTTTCAAAAAAAAATTCAAAAACAAGTCTTTTTATGAAAAAAGACAAAAGAAATTATTTTTCCAATTAAAATTCTAAGATGTCTTAGCTTTTATTGATAGTAACCAGCTTGGTCCATCCTGTATAGAATTACAAAATGTTGAGTTTTTCTTTACTAAAACCTCTGAAACTTCGCTCTAGTTTATTTTAGCAGCATGTATCTTTGCACAAGCCATGTCCACAAGTGAATTATGGTTATAAAGAGGTTTTAGCCTTATTCATTATATATTTAAAATGGTTATATACTATTTAATATAAAAGAAAAATTCCAATGAGGGGACAAAAATCATATTTTCTTCTGTTCCATCCTCACTATCTCTAAAACAATAACAGCTGATAATTACACTTCTGATGAAACTTCCCTAGTGTTAGCTTTATTTTTATGGGGAAACTTAAATATTCCAAACTAAAAACTTTTCTCTGAAATTATGGGAATTAACTGGAAGCTGGGGTTGGTTTAGACACACAGTTCAATAGAAAGTTTAACCCAAAGTTTATGAAAGTGACAAATTCAATTCACTTATTTGGATTTGATGACATTACTGTGACACAACCTTTAGAGAACGATGGGTTTTGATTGAACTTTTCACAGTTCTCTTTGTTATTCTTTTCTAAATTCATGGACACAACTCTGAACCTGAATGCCACCGGTATATCACACAACCCTACGTCATGCAGAAGAAAAAAACAGTGTTAATAAAGTGCTCGTAGTGCTGGGCGGTATACCGTTTTGTACAAATACCGGTTTTTATTTTTGTTATATGAATTTTTTGAATACCGGACATTCCGGTTTAAATAGCGGAACGTTTTGTCTTGGCCGCCAGTGAACTGTTGTTTCCCGGGGGGACATTTTTCCTTGCTGCACCGCTATGTGTGTTAGCATGCTAATGTTTGGAGCAGCTAGTTGCAGCAGCGGGTGGCGATTCCGCTGCTTATATTGACTGACGTTTAAAAAAACATCCCGTTTTCGCCGTCGCTGAATGTAGTAAACACCTCTTCAGTGACGTGCACAGTTAGATTTAACGCGGTTAGTTAATATGGAGACGTTATGCTGATGGAGACTTAACGTGGTTCTATTGTGAAAAGCCTGCAGGAAGTAGTTCGTAGTGGAGTTGGAATTGACTGGTGTGCAAGGTGAGTCGTGCTGATAAGCTTTAATAAATAACATAAAACAATAAACCCGATCATAATCTTTTCTTAACCCTCCTCCTTCACGACTGGACCAAAATGCGTGACTACTGTCTCCAACCACCAGTCAGAGAAGAACAGACACAGAGGAGGGAAACAGCGACACAGACAGAGGTACAGTAAAAGAAAAAAGTCAATAAGCAGGCATACATGTCAACCTCTTCGGACGTTTACCTGTATAAAAAGCCTCAAAAATCCGTACAACTCGCGTGGGGGGCTGTCGGCTGCGGACATGAAAGCGTCCGCTGAGCAGCAGGAGAGGAGAGCGGAAAAAGTTCAAAACTTATTTCTAGCGGCAGAACAGGTTAAAAGATGGCTGTCTTATGTTGTTTATTGTTTTTTTAATCATCCTACAGGCTCTGACATGTTAGATAAATTTGAAAATCAGGTTTTGAAAAAATCCGTAAGACTCGAAAAAATCTGTGAGATTGCTCTATACGTCCGTATACCTGCAAAATGACGTAAAATCCTTATAACTTACGGACAATCCGTGCAAGTTGACATGTATGAGCAGGGTTTGTACATTTTATTATCAGCTGAGCTGTGATGAAAAGAAAAATACCGTCAAATACCGTGAAACCGGTGAAAATGTTGAAAATACCGTGATATAAAATTTTGATCATATCGCCTAGCTCTACTCGTCTAATGTAAAATGTATGTGACAAAAAACATGCTTGTTTCTGACATTGCTTTTATTTGGCATTTGTGTAAAGAGGCCGAACTCGTTACCATGACAAACTCAAATAAATTATGGCCTATGCACAGAAGCATCTGTTGCTATGCCAACAGCCCACTAGCCTTCGCCGTCCCAGTAGCTTCAGCCAGGAAAACACAGTGTACATTTCTCCCTCACTATGATACAGGAGCAGTGAGGAAACTGATACTGGGACTTCAGCAGAAGACAGAAAAACACGCTGCGCAATCTCACTAAAGGCAACTGTAGTGAGAGAATTTATAAATGCTTAGACCTGAAATGTTGCAGAGCAAGCACAGGTCAACGATGCAGTGACAGAGTGCAAAGTGGGTGAATAAAGACAAACAATCAAGAAGTCGCTATGCTACACCACGTAAATAAACAACTCTGGGAAAACAGCGTAATGCTAAACAGACACGTCAGGCAGTGCAATGATGTAGAGCAAAAGATTGCAAAACAAGATATAGGAAGATTTGAACAAAATGTGGGAAGGGGAGGGTCAAAGCACTTTCATTGACAAAAACATGCAAGCTTGAGTTTGCCTGCACCAGCATGTTAAACATGACTGGTGCCTTCCTTTTATACAAGTGTGGTTGTCACTTCTGTAAACACACTGAATGAAACTATAACAACTCTACCTGTTAAGAGATTTCTCAAAGTAAACACATTTGAACTGCATTTTAAAAACTTTAATCAAGACAAAGAACAACTTGTGAGTTCATTCATACCAAATACCTACAATTTTTAGAGATCATATCAGTTGCAGTAACATAATCCGATAAGCACCAAAGACCACGTGTGTAAATGCAGTATATTTTCAGAACACAACACAGAGTGGAACAAGCCCAACTCTCTGGACTCACTTTAGTGTTGGGACGATGCTTTGCTGTGACTTCATCAGCCTGAGCCGATACCACAGGCACCTGCCATGTACCCTCCGCAGGCTCTTCAGCCGCAGCTGTTCTGTTGAGACAATGAACAGATAGAGAGAGGTTAATGGCACGGCAGCCCTGTCAGAGCAACTATGCCGGATTAGGAAAAGTGCCACTGGAATCAAAAGATGTACCGGTACATACAATTATCAATGGTAGTCTGTCTGATACGGCACTATATCGTTATAGTAATTTTATAGAGCATTTTAGAAATATGTAGGTCAATCGGTTGCACTTCAGCACACCAAATGTCAATTTTATTGGTTTTAGTTGCATTTAGAGCAGTGGTTCCCAAACTTTTTGTCTTCTGACCCACAAAATATCCATGGCAAAAACTTGTGACCCCAAATAT